CACACTGCTAACAGTATAATGCTGCTAACAGTACCACTCTGCTAACAGTACCACTCTGCTAACAGTACCACACTGCTAACAGTATAATGCTGCTAACAGTACCACACTGCTAACAGTACCACTCTGCTAACAGTACCACATTGCTAACAGTACCACTCTGCTAACAGTACCACTCTGCTAACAGTACCACATTGCTAACAGTACCATGCTGCTAACAGTACCACTCCGCTAACCGTACCACTCTGCTAACAGTACCACACTGCTAACAGTATAATGCTGCTAACAGTATCACTCTGCTAACAGTACCACATTGCTAACAGTACCACTCTGCTAACTGTACCACTCTGCTAACAGTACCACACAGCTAACAATACCACGCTGCTAACAGTACCACTCTGCTAACAGTACCACTCTGCTAACAGTATAATGTTGCTAACAGTACCACTCTGCTAACAGTACCACGCTGCTAACAGTACCACTCTGCTAACAGTACCGCTCTGCTAACAGTACCACTCTGCTAACAGTATAATGCTGCTAACGAGACCATGTTGCTAACAGAACCTCACTGCCAACAGAGCCAGTCTGATAAAAAGACCATGCTGCTGTAAATGTATTTCTTTTTCACTTATGGTGCTTTGTTTTGTACTTTTGTTGCATGCTTTGGTATTTCTGTTTTGTTTCTTTGTTTCTTTGTTTTTTGGCAAGTTGAGACAGTGCATGAATATTCACCTAATTTAAAGTGACTTAATTTAACTCGGATAAAAGATAATTGAAAAGTACAAGTCAGGGGATAGGTACAAAAAGATTTCCAAGGTCCTACATATCCTCAAGTCTTCTGTTAAATCTGTCATCAAGAAATGGTGGGAATATGAGACACGTGTTTAGGTTCATTGTCATATGTAGATCAACACAAGGTCAACAACGCAATGAAATGTTCAGGACAAGAAGAACCACAATCATTTCATTCACATTGCATATTTTTGCTTAATTAGTGTTACTCTGTGGAAACCCGAGTTTACTTTGACATAGAAGGTTTTATTTTTTTGTAAAGGTCAATTTTGACTGATCACGACTTATTTATGACTGTAATCAATTCATAAAACATCTAAGGGGGTGAATACTTTTGATAGACCCTTTATGTAATGTAATGAGAAAAAACCTTAATTACATAAGTGAGTCATCCCTCCTATTAAATTATGAGTTCAGTTTTCCATGGAAATATGTTTTTATTTTAAGGTACAGCACTCAGTGGAACAAAGCAAATCCAGTATCAGTTTGAAGCCAACAAAACATAATTTAAATAATCTGAGAAAACTGTTGGTTTTATGATGCTTTATCACAAAAATCCAATGTTTGAGACACTCGGCTCTTTTTCCTTCTTGTCTCAGTTCTAAGCAAACCTTTGAACAGCATTTCAGGAAGTTTGTAAGAAAGTTAACAAAACAGACATGATAAAAACTTAATTTAAAATGAAAAACAAACTAAATATATATGAAAAAGGCAGGGAGAAGTTTTTTAGCGATCACACTACCTTGACGTGACTCTGAGCGCCCAGGTTGTAGATTTCTGTTGGCTTCACCTCATTGATGATCTTCACCAGACACGTGCTGTCAGTCAGGTCGCCGTAATGCAGCTTCATGTCTTTAAATCATCACAACAGAGAAGTGCGTTTTTCAGTAATTCATGATTATTTAATGGTAAAGATTTAGATATCAGACCAAGAATACCAGCATGTGGATCAAATGAACTAATATTCTTACTGGTCAAAGCAATAAATTTAGCCAAAGCAAACATGTAAATATAAAACTGCATCTGTGAAGGGTGAAACTAGATCCCAGTGGCAAAGATAAGATACCGTATTTTCCACCATACAAGTCGCATCAGTCCAAATATGTCTAATAAAGTGGAAAAAATAAATATGTTGCTTCGCCGTATGAGTCGCATCTATTATGGGTCACTGTTGACAACCTGGAAATGGGGGGTGCCAAAAATCAATTGGCTGCCAAATGGAGGCCGCGGGAGCGTGCACAGGAGGATTTTAACAAGAGTTTAACAAGATTAACCCTTGAAAATAATTAGTTCACTTGAAATTATAGTAAAGTTGTATCTCAGTCTAACTTTTTCTTACTAAATGCTGCACTTCAACGGGCAAACTAGCTGCATTTCGCCGGGGCGATGCAGTGAAATGAAGCTGATTTGACGGTTGCTCCAGGCATGATCCCAGAGCTGGATGAAGGTGGCAGGCTATGGCAAGCCAATTGTGTCATTAATAGCCACTTTTACCTATTACATGACAACGGCATGCATAATACTTGGGTGCCATCTAGCGGCTGAAAATGGTAGTGTTCAATATTTTCAATGTCAGAATGAATGAAAACGTTCATATCTCAGCCAAAAATTGGTTTATACATATGGGAAAAAGTACATAAATAAGTCGCTTCGGTGTTTAAGTCGCACGGTATGTGAATTATGTGAAAAACTGCGACTTATAGGCCGAAAAGTACAGTACTTACTTCCTTCAGTATGAGTCTGTGGATTTTGGTAAAGATGCTCAATGCGACCCGTGTTAAAGGAACTGGAACGTCGAACAATCCCATGAACCTGGAGGAAAAAAGGAAGACAGGACATATGAACAACAAGAAAAACATTTTAGATAATATTTTATATATATAATATCTAATATTGATTTATTCAGACTAATGACATTTTATAAAAATGCATAAACCTGAGCATTATTTTTAAAAATTCGTTGTAAATATCAAAGATTTTCTAGACAACTAAAAATAAATTCCTTTATTTTTTGGCCTTTGGAGAAACTAAACACACAATGTTTAAAACATACTTTTCAGGAGTTTAAAGATAAGTTAAACTAGGAATAAAACATGTTCAACTTTGTTTGAAGCCTGTCCATATGTTGTTGTCATTAATTCCTGCAACCTATCCAAACTGTTGGTCCAGTGGATTTGTCTTACACAGATGAGGAAACCAAATCCTCTTTTTGCTTTGGAAATCTGACAGAAATACTGGGTCAAATCAATTAGTTGCTTTGTTCACTGCTTTCCCAATAAAATCTGATTCTTTTAAGAGTTTGTTCTGTTTCTAATAAAAAAAAGGAGTGAGTTACTCCTCTGAGGAAGACTACAGCAAATGTTATTGATTCTAATTTGTTGTATTAAGTACAATTTATCTCTGAAAGTGTAAAAAGTTTAAACAAGTATTACGTCTCATCGCTCCACCTCAGAGTTGTGCGTTGCCTTCTGGTTTGTGATCTTTACTTTGCGTTCTTGGGGGGGGGGATTAGTTTAGTGAGGAAGGTCTGATGGGGGAAGATAACAGGACCTGGTCCAGGGGGAGTCCATTAGTGGGAGGACACTGTGCCCTGACCTCACTTCCTTTATTCACTGCGCTCTTCCTGCCTGCCTCTGCACTCCTCTTTATTACCACTCTCTCCCTGTCCAACCCTTCTTCATCGGCATACTCAGTCCACTTCCTCTCTGCTGTCCCAGAGCCAGGCAGCAGATGGCAAAGTCGACATGGCAGACTGACATGAAGGTTGGCGTTTCTTCAACTCAGCTGAGAGGAAACAAAAGTTCTGTATACTGTATGGTTGCATAAGTGCTGTGCACCTAAAAACAGCAGATGGAGGCTAGAGATGGCTGTGTTACACCAACCAGTTCCTTGTTTGACCCAGTGTAATTGGTCAGGGGTTAAAAAGCCAACGCAGAAAGAGGTTTTATCAGAGTGAAGTGTGAGTGAGTCGGTGTATCTCCAAGCTGTCATGTTACATCATGATCCCTCTGGAGTTCTTGCACGCTGGATGCAGCTTATCGAGGGAATGTCGCTCTGTGCATGTCAGCGTTCATGAGTCTGTGGGTTCAACGGAGCTTCCAAAGGACAGAGCTCTGGTGTTTCTGTGAATACAGCAAGTATTGTTTTTTTTTATCCTCACCTCGTAGCCTTTTGCGAGCAGGAACTCAGCCAGGTAGGAACCATCCTGAAAAGACATAAAAACAACATCACAGAATTTGCTTCCATCCTTTGTATGAGTTCAAAAAACAAAGAACAGGTTTGACAAATAAAAATATGCCAGTTTATGAATTAATGCTAAGAGAACAGATACTTGAATGTAAGAGTACGAGGTCAGTAATGTAGAGTTTTATGGTTTGTGGAGTAACAAATCTCCATTGGAGACCGTTTTCAGACAGGGAGACTGTAAAGAAGCAAATGAAATCACCAAACTTAGTTCCCTGAAGATGAGACGAAAAAAGATCGTTTGGCCAAAAAAAGAGATCAGAAAAGTTATTTGTTTTGGGGACACAGGAAGATGCAGTGATGTAATCATAATAAACCTACATATCATTAAAACTAAATAATAAATTATCATAAAAACATTTTTTCTGGTGTTGGAAAACAAATCTAAAAACTTTAGCATAATGGGATCATTAAATCTATGGGTATAAGTAGGCCTGTCATGTTAACAAATTTTGCTGGGCGATTAATTGTCTCAGAAATTATCGCGATAAACTATAATATTGTTTGAAATTTGACAATAATTAGTAATTATTGTCAAATTTAAGAAGAAAGTTTGGTTAATTTTTGTGTGTAGTACCTTTTTTGACCAATGGATGGCAGTATAAGACAGTTTGAACTGAAGGATGGATAGTAAGGGAGTGAGCGGCGTGTCTCTTTAAGAAAAATAGGAGGGAGGCCCTTGACGTGACATGGGCTGTCTTTTGTTCCTGTTATTCAGTTCTCAAAATGGCGGTCGCTAAGTGTGGTTTGAGCTCTTTAGCATAGCATTTGTCGTACAAGCTTTTAATGAAAGAATCCATTAGTGGGTAGAAAGAGAGAGACATGAAGAAACGATAAAGCTGATAAATGAAAATGGGGTCAATAATTTTAATTTATAATGCGATTAATTGATTTATTGTTTATCGCAACAGGCCTAGGTATAAGGATGACCTTAAACCATTCTGTGTATGTGCGCACGTGTTTGTGTGTGTGTTTGTGTGTGTGTGGGGGGGGGGGGATTCACTGTCAATGAGGTCTTGTTCCCCTCACCCATGTTCCTCCTCATCTTTTTTTTTCCTGCTCAGACTTTCCGACCGCACATTCTGAAACACTCCGGAAGAATCCAGCCAAGTCGTGACATTCATCCCTCAATCCTGCTTATATATGTGCACATACACATGCATGTTTGGTCATGCCAGCCCCACACTGTTGAACAGTGGAAATGGTGGCGGGGAAGAAGAAAAGCTGGTGATGCTTCAACATTTGAGAAAACCTAAAAATTTGAATTTGCCATAAGGCGTGATGATCAAACTTTACTCTGTGTGAGGTCCTAAAGCAACGTCGAGAGCTGCTATTGCAGTAAACCAGTTTGCTTTTATATTTTGGGTGCTATGCATAAATTAAAGTAACTTGTAGAACATAAAATATGAACGATTTCAAAATAAAAAATGATAAAACTTCAGTGAAAATGTCTGATCTAAGCATGTTGGCGTTATACATTTACACTACTGACAAACCAGTATTATTTTGGATAAATGATACTGATTTATCAGTAGTGTAAATGTACAGATGTAACTGGGACCTTGTGTACATAGTTCCGTTCCACCTCATGTGCCACATGTGAGGTGAATGACAATAAAGACACCTTGACCTTGATAAAAATAAAAGCACTTCAAAAACTACAAAAAACATCTAAAGTTTTAACGTGATCGTCCGTCTCAAATACACCAACCAAGATAATGGAAAATGTTTTAACAGGAAATGAATGCGTGCTGGACCATCTGTCTTTATAGAATAACTTGATAATAGATTTTAGTCATTTTAGCCTCAATTTTCAGATTTGTAACGTCCACTGGGATCAGGGTCAGTATCTTAAGGTTGTGCACTGATGTTCAGTTGGCACTGATGCCAAACCTGTTTCTGCTCAAGGCAGAGGTGGAGATGGGCGCTGGCGCTCCTTCAGCCCATCCACAGAGCGATCAAAGCTCCGGCTGGTGTCATGCTTTCCTGTCCGTGTGCCAGGCTCACAACGTTTCACTGCAGTCCAATATGAAAAACAAGCCCGAAGAGCTGCAGCTCTGTGTCAAAACAAGAAGCTCCTTTGAGGCCGTTTTACCCAGTAAACCCTGGCCTCACCTCACCGTTTCCTGTTATGGGGAGTTGGGTGCTTAATGGAAGCATGAAGACACACACAAATGCATGCACAGTCACCTGCTGGGCCAGTGGCCACACCACAAACTCCCCAAAGACTCATTTGGGCCTGTGACACAAAATCATATCTAAACTGTAAAGCAACACTAAAAAATATTCCAAAACGTTTGTTGGGTGTTGAAGCATTGAATGACTAACTCAAAAACAAAGTTTTAAGAACTACCAAGCCCTTCATTACGAATAATTCAGGAACTCTGAACAGATACATAAAAATAAAAAAAAGAAAGTAACATCCTGAGGTTAAAAAATTTTAATCAATTATATAAAAACAAGAGCTCCATCTCAGCCCAAGTTCATTGCAGACTTGAACAAGTATGGCTGGTTTGGACGGGTTGCAGGAGAAAGACTCTTCTCTTTAAAAACAACTAAAACAAAAAGGTTTGTAAAATTGTATCTGAGTAAATCACAAGACTTCTGGGGGAAAAAATTAGACCAAAGTACAAATGTTTGGTTGCAATGCACATCAGAACAATTGAAGAAAACCAAAGAGAACATTTTAGCACAAACGCTTCTTCCCAGCTGTCAGCACAGCGGTGGAAGTGTGATGGTTTGTGTACCTTGAAGTCACTGAGACGACCATGAACTCCTAAGGATTCTAGAGTCAAATGTAAAGTAATTTATGACAGCTGAAGCTCCAAACTGATGCAAAGTGTCAATGATCCCAAACACAATAGTTAATCTAGAACAGAACGGCTCAAAAAGAAAAGAATCAAGGTGCTGCAATAGTCCAGTCAAGGTCCAGATCTCTACTTTATTCAAATGCTGCGTAAGGACCTTAAGACAGCTCAGCAGAATCAAATAAATAAAACCCAAATAAATAAATAATAAAAAGCTATGCTGGAAAGAAGAGTGGGTCAAAATTACTCTGAGAATGACAAAGTCAGACAGAAAACCATTACTGAGAGTTACTGATCATAACTGTTTCAGAACATTTAATAAGGTTCCTCTGAAATAAAATAAAAATACTGATTAAAATAAAAGAAAACTAATGGTCTAAGGAATTACTAAACAATTAGCAAACCCATTTTTTTTTCCAACTAGCTGCTTTTGATATAATGCAAAAAACATACATTTGCATCATACTTCCCCAACTGTTCATGCTTAAACTGCTTGTTTTTGATTTTTTTTTTGTTGTCCAACTACACAACCAAAGCCCAAACAGTGATTGAGAAAAACAGTTTGGTGGTTAAAAAAATAAAAAAAACGTGTGATTTTGGTGCCCTCTGCTGGCGAAACACAGAAACAAGAATACATATTCTCAGACAGTTTGAGTCATAACATTGGGGCAAAAAGGACATTTCTGAATGATTGTTCAACATTTAACCAATCCCCGTCTTTGTGCCTGCAGGCAGACAGCAATGTAAACACAGGAGTCGTGCGTGCAATTATTTACCACTGTGTGCACGCTACAAGTGAATCACTTGACCGTGTTTTCATTAAACCGTAGGCAGAAGTTGGCAAGCATGACACAGATCTGCAAATATGCCATATATGGTGTAATGAAGCTGTAATCACAAGCTCCAGCACAATCACACACATACACACACACAGATTTTTAGTGTGGTGTTAATAAAAAGTCTGAAACCCTCTCCTCTAGTTTTGAATCACTCAGGCGTGTCACGGAAGGACAGTCGAACAGGAAACACAGGAATTAATGAGGATCAGACGTCAGAATATCCAAAACCAGCCACTAGGGAGCACAAGCCAGTTTATCACTTGTGCCAGCCCCAAGCCCAGGTAAATGGTGAGGGTTGTGTCAAGAAGGGCATTCGATGTAAAACACTTACGCCAAAACTAAAATGTAAGTTCAATGTAAGTGACACCATACCAGATCGGTTGAGGTTCAGGTTGACAACACTACCGGAGGTGTCGACAAAACAGGGTGCTGCTACTGTTAGTCCAAGACCACGAGAAGGGAAACGTGGCAACAGAGGGAGATGAGGAAAGTCAAGAATGTAAGACTGAGGGTTGCAACTCTAAATGTAGGGACAATGACAGGCAAAGGTAGACAGCTGGCTGACATGATGCAGAGAAGGAAGGTAGATGTTTTATGTGTCTAAGAGACCAAGTTGAAGGGCAGCATTGGAGCAGGGTTCAAACTGTTTTACCATGGTGTGGATAAAAAGAGAAAAGGAGTAGGGGTGGTCCTGAAGGAGGAGTTGGCAAAGAATGTAGTAGAGGTGAAAACAGTGTCAGATAGGGTGATGCGCCTGAAGGTAGAAGTAGGTCTGATGCTAAACGTTGTCAGTAGTTTTGCTCTACAGGTTGGATGTGATGTGGAGGAGAAAGATACATTTTGGAAGGCTCTGGATGAAGTGACAGAGAGTATTCTCAGGGAACAGAGAGTGGTGACCAGAGCAGACCTGAATAGACATATTGGTGAAGGAAACAGATGGAATATGGAAGTGATGGGTTTGGTGTCAAGGAAAGAAACCAGGAAGGACGGGTGGTGGATTTTGCCAAGATAATGGAAATGACTATAGTCAACACCTATTTCCAAAATAGGCAGGACCGTAGAGAGGCTTATAAGAGTGGAGGAAGGAGTACGCAGGTCGACTACATTCTGTGTAGAAGAGGAAACCTGAGGGAAATTGGGGACTGTAAGGTTGTGGCAGGGGAGAGTGTGGCCAGACTGCATCGGATGTGTAGAATGATTGTTGTTGTGAAGTAAAAGAGAAAAATAGTAAAATCAGAGAAGAAGACCAAATGGTGGAAGCTGAAGAAGGAAGAATGTTATGAGAAATTCAGAGAGGAGATGTTAAAGGCGCTGGG